GGAATAGGTTTGGGGCGGTCTAAACCCAGCAGATTCGTTCCATCAAAATGGGTTGTCTGGAATTATTATTATTATTATTATTATTATTATTATTATTATTATTATTATTATTAATTTATTTATACCCCATCCATCTGGCTGGGTTTCCCCAGCCACTCTGGGTGGCTTCCAACCAAACACTAAAATACAATAACCTATTAAACATTAAAAGCTTCCCTAAACAGGGCTGCCTTCAGATGTCTTCTAAAAGTTTGGTTGTTATTTTTCTCTTCGACAACTGGTGGAAGGGCGTTCCACAGGGCAGGTGCTACTACCGAGAAGGCCCTCAGAATAAGGAATTAAGAGACCCAATGTCATGCCTGCTGCTGTCAATAAAGATTTCAACTGATTATATCCCTCCACTGTTGTACAATCTGCTTATTTTGTTGCTCTCATGGGTCACATAATGCACCTGCCTGGGCAATATTAAGTTGAGTTTCCTGCCTTGTAGAGACCCTTGAGGTCCATTCAAACTTTACAATTCTATGATTCTATGGTGTGTCTCCTTCATGGATCACTGCCTTGCCGTGGCGAAGGGGCTTGAATAACTCAGAGAAGCTATGAGCTATGCCGTGCAGGGCCACCCAAGATGGACAGGTCATAGTGGAGAGTTTTGACCAAACGTGATCCACCTGGAGCAGGAACTGGCAAGCCACTCCAGTATCCCTGCCAAGAAAACTCCATGGACAAAGACAACAGGCATATAAAAGTTATGACGCTGGAAGATGAGCCCCTCAGGTCGGAAGGTGTCCAACATGCTACTGGGGAAGAGCGGAGGACAAGTACAAGTAGATCCAGAGCTGATGAAGCGGCTGGGCCAAAGCCGAAAGGACGCTCAGTTGCGGATATGCATGGAAGCGAAAGGAAAGTCCAATGCTGTAAAGAAAAATATTGCATAGGAACCTGGAATGTAAGAACCATGAACCTGGGTAAGTTGGATGTGGTCAAAAATGAGATGGCAAGAATAAATATTGACATCTTGGGCATCAGTGAACTAAAATGGACGGGAATGGGCGAATTCAGTTTGGATGACTATCATATCTACTACTGTGGACAAGAAACCCGTAAAAGAAATGGAGTGGCCCTCATAGTCAACAAAAGAGTGGTGAAAGCTGTACTGGGATGCAATCTCAAAAATGATAGAATGATCTCGATACGAATCCAAGGCAGACCTTTTAACATCACAGTAATCCAAGTTTATGCACCAACTACTGGTGCTGAAGAAACTGAAATTGACCAATTCTATGAAGACTTACAAGACCTTATAGAAATGACACCAAAGAAGGATGTTCTGCTCATAATAGGGGATTGGAATGCTAAAGTAGGGAATCAAGAGATAAAAGGAACAACTGGCAAGTTTGGCCTTGGAGTTCAAAACGAAGCAGGGCAAAGGCTAATAGAGTTCTGTCAAGAGAACAAGCTGGTCATCACAAACACGCTTTTCCAACAACACAAGAGACGACTCTACACATGGACATCACCAGATGGGCAGCATCGAAATCAGATTGATTATATTCTCTGCAGCCAAAGATGGAGAAGCTCTATACAGTCAGCAAAAACAAGACCTGGAGCTGACTGTGGCTCAGATCATCAGCTTCTTATAGCAAAATTCAAGCTTAAACTGAAGAAAGTAGGAAAAACCACTGGGCCGGTAAGATACAATCTAAGTCAAATCCCTTATGAATACACAGTGGAAGTGAGGAACAGGTTTAAGGATTTAGATTTGGTGGACAGAGTGCCTGAAGAACTATGGATGGAGGCTCGTAACATTATACAAGAGGCAGCAACTAAAACCATCCCAATGAAAAGGAAATGCAAGAAAGCAAAGTGGCTGTCCAACGAGGCCTTACAAATAGCGGGGGAGAGAAGGCAAGCAAAATGCGAGGGAGATAGTGAAAGATACAGGAAATTGAATGCAGATTTCCAAAAAATAGCAAGGAGAGACAAGAAGGCCTTCTTAAACGAGCAATGCAAAGAAATAGAGGAAAACAATAGAATGGGAAGAACCAGAGATCTGTTCAAGAAAATTGGAGATATGAAAGGAACATTTTGTACAAAGATTTCCATAATAAAAGACAAAAGTGGAAAGGACCTAACAGAAGCAGAAGACATCAAGAAGAGGTGGCAAGAATACACAGAGGAACTATACCAGAAAGAAATTGATGTCTCGTATACCCCAGGTAGTGTGGTTGCTGACCTTGAGCCAGACATCCTGGAAAGTGAAGTCAAATGGGCCTTAGAAAGCATCGCTAATAACAAGGCCAGTGGAAGTGATGATATTCCAGCTGAATTATTTAAAATTTTAAAAGATGATGCTGTTAAGGTGCTACACTCAATATGCCAGCAAATTTGGAAAACTCAGCAGTGGCCAGAAGATTGGAGAAGATCAGTCTACATCCCAATCCCAAAGAAGGGAAGTGCCAAAGAATGCTCCAACTACCGCACAATTGCACTTATTTCACACGCTAGCAAGGTTATGCTTAAAATTCTACAAGGCAGGCTTAAGCAGTATGTGGACCGAGAACTCCCAGAAGTGCAAGCTGGATTTAGAAGAGGCAGAGGAACCAGAGACCAAATTGCAAACATGCGCTGGATTATAGAGAAAGCTAGAGAGTTCCAGAAAGACATCTACTTCTGCTTCATTGACTATGCAAAAGCCTTTGACTGTGTCGACCACAGCAAACTATGGCAAGTTCTTAAAGAAATGGGAGTGCCTGATCACCTCATCTGTCTCCTGAGAAATCTCTATGTGGGACAAGAAGCTACAGTTAGAACTGGATATGGAACAACTGATTGGTTCAAAATTGGGAAAGGAGTACAACAAGGCTGTATATTGTCCCCCTGCTTATTTAACTTATATGCAGAATTCATCATGCGAAAGGCTGGGCTGGATGAATCCCAAGCCGGAATTAAGATCGCCGGAAGAAATATCAACAACCTCAGATATGCAGATGACACAACCTTGATGGCAGAAAGTGAGGAGGAATTAAAGAACCTTTTAATGAGGGTGAAAGAGGAGAGCGCAAAATATGGTCTGAAGCTCAACATCAAAAAAACAAAGATCATGGCCACTGGTCCCATCACCTCCTGGCAAATAGAAGGGGAAGAAATGGAGGCAGTGAGAGATTTTATTTTCTTGGGCTCCATGATCACTGCAGATGGTGACAGCAGCCACGAAATTAAAAGACGCCTGCTCCTTGGGAGAAAGGCGATGGCAAATCTAGACAACATCTTAAAAAGTAGAGCCATCACCTTACCAACAAAGGTCCGTATAGTTAAAGCCATGGTTTTCCCAGTAGTGATGTATGGAAGTGAGAGCTGGACCATAAAGAAGGCTGATCGCTGAAGAATTGATGCTTTTGAATTATGGTGCTGGAGGAGACTCTTGAGAGTCCCATGGACTGCAAGAAGATCAAACGCATCCATTCTTAAGGAAATCAGACCTGAGTGCTCACTGGAAGGACAGATCGTGAAGTTGAGGCTCCAATACTTTGGCCACCTCATGAGAAGAGAAGACTCCCTGGAAAAGACCCTGATGTTGGGAAAGATGGAGGGCACAAGGAGAAGGGGACGACAGAGGATGAGATGGTTGGATAGTGTTCTCGAAGCTACAAACATGAGTCTAACCAAACTGCGGGAGGCGGTGGAAGACAGGAGTGCCTGGCGTGCTCTGGTCCATGGGGTCACGAAGAGTCGGACATGACTAAACGACTAAACAACAACAACAACAATGGTGTGTGGCTCTTATGTGGCTGATAGGACAGTATTTTAGCAGCTAGTTGCTTGGTGAGCACCCTTAGAAACCTTGAAAGAGAAATGTGAGACCCAGTTATGTTCTTCTGGGTTCTAAGACCTGCTCATTGAGTACAGATCACAACTGAAACTAACATGTAACACCTTCTTAGAGTTGTGGGGCCCCAAGAAGGGGTGGGTCCACAAGGGCTCCTTCCCCCCTTAGGTGTGGGGCTGATGGTAGTAGATGAAGTTAAATCCAATTTATGCTAGGTGGCAGTGAGTGGCTTGCTAGAATGGTTAACAGCAAAAGAGTTCGAGAAAAATCACACTGAAGAGAATTTGCACAATTTAAATAAACCCAGTCCTATGTTTCACCCTTACTTCACTTGTGTCATGTCTCTTTATTTCATAGCTTTTGTCACAAGAGTATACTTTTCCTCTCCTTGATGACACATCTGTTTTTGCCACAAATTTATTCTGTAGATAGATAACAGCTGCCCAGTCATGTGGCAAAACTGGAGTCAGACAGTGACTTTTCTTTCAAGATTTGCTACTTTGAGTCACAAAACAAAATGGATTCATTTTGACTTTCCTACTGGTGCTCAGTTACCATGGAAGACTTAAGCTAATTGCCAATTTTGTGCCACCAAGAGGCAGAGGCAGCACGTAGGAAGATCTGAGAATAAACACACAACTCAACATGATGGAAAAATCCAAACCAAAACACCTCATTGGAACTAAAACTTTTCAAAAGTTATTAAGTCATCGTACAATTATCCAAATCACTATACTTTCTCCACCTTGTCAGAACACCAGAGGCATAAGTAAACTGTCAATAAACATCCATGAAAGGGATTATAATAATGAACCTCTGTACCATGAGGAAATAGGAGTAGTATCAAGAGGCAGCCATGGCTCCCAGTTTTCCTCCTCTCATTTTGTATTTTTGTCAGATTATTGGCCTGTCTTGAAATCTGAGTGTTGGAAATCTCACCTAGCATCCAAAGCATGTGTTTATACTGTTTTTATTTTAAAATAAGGTGTGCCTATCTCTCTTGTTGTGTTGTATTGACAAAGCCAGGAATCATGCAATGTAGTTTGCTTAGGTCATTCTGCAGGTACTGATAGGCAAAGAGCATCCAAGATTGCTGAGAAGCTTGTCTACTAGGATGCTGTGGTCATTCACTTTGCTCTTTCTGCTTCCTCCTGTTGTGTGCAAAGCAGCTATGAGGTGCCTTGGGACTGATACATTTCCTGTTCCGCATGAGTGGTACCAGTCAGGTGGCCTCATCATTGGTGGGATAGCTTCTCAGTTCTATTATTCCTTCTTTGAAGATTTCTTCAAGGACAACCCTTCACAGAATCTGTTTGATACTCCACAGTAAGAGACTCTCCCTCCCCCTTCATTTTTGGGATTAATCCTTCCCAGTACTTTATTTATTATTGTGCATCCTACTAAGCTGGCAGGCAGTAAATGATGGCTTTGTCTTTTGTGATAATGAGAAGGCTTTCTATTTGGGGGAAAAAATGTGCAGATGCGGTTAGTATGCTTGGTTTTAATTGCACCAAATGAATGTGTAATAAGGACCAAGAAGAGGAGAATGGAGATGATACTGCTGTACCTAGTCTTGGGGCACAGACTCTGTTTAATCTTCCTAGAACATATTTGATGAATCAGATACTGTTTGAGAGAATTTCATTGAAATATTGTTGCTTTTCTGAGCTAGATACAAAGAATGGTCACCTGCATAGCCAGTTTGAGTATAAAGAGAAGGAGGTGGAGATTATTGTTGTCTTTTTTGGGTGGGAGGCCACTGAGATTAAAAGTCAAACAAGACATAATGCAGAGATGGCATGATGAATCATAGATTTTATTTGGGCTGAAGAGTATGATGTTTATTATTTTAAGACCACCATAAATGATAACCAGGTTATACTTCAATATGTATCAATTTAAGACAGAAATGGCAATTTGTTTTGTCTACTTCCTGCATTGTAGAATTCTCCTCTGAAATTTTAAACTAACCTCATTTGCAGCATGATACCGAAATTCTACCAGCACATCCTGGCCTTGGCATTTGCTGTAAAAGTGATTAATGAGAATCCCAACCTCTTGCCCAATGTCACACTGGGATTCCACGTCTATGACAGCTATTATGATGCAAGGATGACCTATCGTAACACTCTGGACCTGCTCTTCAAAATGCATAGATTTGTTCCAAACTACAAATGTGACTCGCAGAAAAACCTCATAGCCATAATCGGAGGACTTAGTTCTGATACCTCCTTCCATATGGCTGATACCCTAAGCCTCTACAAGATTCCACAGGTAGGTTTTATGAGTTGGGTCATGAATTTTTTTCTCCCAAATCACACTCTTCTCTTCCCATTCTGAAAATGATTTTGAGATTCAGAAAGTGAATATGACTGATGCTTATGCATTACGAGCTGGAATGTCTATCAGAAGTGTAGATTACTCCTTACCAGTAGAAATTGCTACACTAGTGAAAGTCTGAGTCAATGAGACAGCAGGCAGTGCAATGGACACTTCCAACACCAACACCCTGTACCTCCCTTCAACTGCAAAATAAGCTGTCTCTGCAAGGAGCCTGGACCACTTGAGGACTATAAGCTGACCTTAGGCTCTACCTCCCTGGATAACTTGGATGACTGATGAAAGGGTGCTAACTTATTTTTTAATATTTGAGTTCTGCAAGAATGGACAGACAGAGGTTTTGTATGGTACTCATCATCTGGCTCAGAGGACTATAGGGGGATGTGTCCTCCAATCAGTGTGGCCCTGAATTAGCCCTGAATTTCCTGCCAAGGAAATAGTCTGTTCTCAAGAAAGTCCCCAGCCATGCATTCCATTGCAGCAGAGATAGGTCATGACAATTCGTGTTCTCCTTCTTTGGAGAGATCCCATAAAGCCTGGCTGGAAGGAGCACAGGACACCAACATACCACCATGCAAGGAAGTACAATAGCATTCAAAAAATATCTACCACACACACACACACACACACACACACACACACCACCTTGAACAGGTGAGCCACAGTTCCTCAATCCAGTTGCAGGGTAGCTGTGATACTTCCCTGTGCCGTGTGCATCTCATTCATGATTCCAAACAGCTGAACTAGAGTAGCATTCTTCTGGTGCATTAGTGGGATTTGGCCAGCATATCAGACATGGCAAAGATATATCTGGGGTTAATCCAAGTAGTGCAGCTTCTCCCAAATGCTAAATCTCTACATACAGAGGAATTCAAGATTAGGATTGCACCCTACAAATGAAACAAAGGGACATGTCTGACAAGACACAAATACTTTATGAAATAAAATATTCAGAAATTGGAAAATATCACCACAACTCTAAAAATTTAAACTGGAAGAAGCATTTGTTGAATGAACAGAAAAAATGATTTAAAAAAAATTGTTTAGACTCACGTACCTTTATAATGTCTGCACTTTTCCTTGTAGCTTACATATGGCTCGTTTCCACAAAAGGAAAGTGATATAGATCACTTGCTTTCCTTTTACCGCATGGTGCCCAATGAAGCTCATCAGTATATGGCGATTATCAGCTTGCTTCACCATTTTGGATGGAAATGGGTTGGACTCTTTGTTACAGATGACAATGGAGGAGAAAATTTATTGCAGATGATGGAGCCATTGCTTTACCAACATGGAATCTGTTCAGCCTTCACACGAAGAATGGAAAAAGTAGCTCATTTTGATTTGGGAGGTGAAATTTTCAACATGCTCAATAAATATTATGTGGATGTCACAAATGATAAAGTTAATGCATTCATCATCTATGGAGATTCTCTGACACTGAGCTGGCTAAGATTTCTTCTGTTTGTACGAGATCCTGAAAATAAGGAAATCACGTCATTTAGAAAGGTGTGGATCATGACAACACAAATTGATTTCATATTACTGAGTTATCAAAAGTCTTGGGATCTTGAACCCTTTCAAGGTGCCATTTCCTTTACCATTCAATCAAAAGAGCTTCTTGAGTTCAATGAATTTCTTCAGATCATAAAACCTTACTGGAACCCAGCAGATGGTTTTCTCAAGGACTTCTGGGAGCAAGCATTTGACTGTACATTTCCAGATCTGATCATGCAAGATACTGAAACATGTACAGGGAAGGAGAAGTTAGAGTGTCTTCCTGGGCATCAATTTGAAATGGGCATGACTGGCCACAGCTACAGTATCCACAATGCTGTCTTTGTTGTCGCTCATGCTTTGCATGCTATTTATTCATTCAGATCAAAGCACAGAGCACTGGCAGGAGACAAAAGGTTTCAGCTTCAAGATCTGCAGCCTTGGCAGGTAACATGTTGCAAACAATATATTATTTCCATGAGCCAATTACCCCAAGTCTGAACTTCGTGACACAGGACATTTTTAAAGTGATATCATTTTGTAACATTTCTATCTGCTGTATGAAAATAGCTCATTTTAAATACCGTATTTTTCGCTCGATAACACACACCTGACCATAACACGCACATAGTTTTTAGAGGAGGAAAACAAGAAAAAAAAATTCTGAATGAAACAGTGGATGTATCATTTTTGTGCTTCATGCTGTGGCCACAGACAAGTGATCTGATGGTGAGTTTGGGGTAGCCCAATGCAAAGATCCTGAGAATCCATGTGGATCCATGCTTTGTAACCACGTTTTTGTACCATTGCACCCCAGGCAACAGTGGGTGCATGATTTTTTTGGTGCAGGCTGTAGTCATGGACATGCTATGTGATCTGATGGTGAATTTGGGGTGACCCTATGTAAAGATCCTGAGGATCCATGTGGATCCGTGCTTTGTAACCACGTTTTTGCACCATTGCAGCCCTGTTTTTGCATCAGATCATTGCTATGTGATCTGATGGTGAATTTGGGGTTACCCTATGTAAAGATCCTGAGGATCCATGTGGATCCATGCTTTTTAACCACGTTTTTGCACCATTGCAAAATTGCAGCCCTGTTTTGCATCAGATCATTGCTATGTGATCTGATGGTGAATTTAGGGTGGCCCAATGCAAAGATCCTGAGGATCCATGTGGATCTGTGCTTTGTAACCACGTTTTAAGTGGGGAGGGAAGGAAAAACATAGGGACAAGGAGCAGCGAGAGGGGTGTGCGGAGAAGCAGCTGGCTAAGAATGCAGGAGAGGGATTTTACCGGAGGGAGGAAAGGAAGGCAAAAGTTCCCCCCACGCACCCACCCAAGCCAGCCAGCTCTCTCTCTCTCCCCCACCTGCATGTTGCAGCACCGGAGCACGAGAGGAATTAGAAGGAAGGACACTCTGCTTTCCCCTCTCCTTGCCTGGAGGGGAGGGGTTTTCTCTGCTCTTTGTTCTGTTTGAGCAAACACAGTAACAAACAGAAGTGGGTGGGCAGTAAGACCCTGAGGCAGAATGCAGGAAAGCAGCAGCTTCCTCTTTTCAAGGCATCCCTTCTCCGGACGATTGATATTTGCCTGATTTTTGCGCCTATCGGCTCCAGGGACCACACATTCGCTCAATAACACACACAGACATTTCCCCTTACTTTTTAGGAGAAAAAATCTGCGTGTTGTACAGGGAAAAATACGGTATGTGGTCTATGTTAGGTGCAGATTCATAAGCAATATTCATATAAAAGGGAGTAACACAATGCAAACAAAATATTATTTCAGTTAGCCAATTACTTCAGTTAGCCACAAATCATGAAATATGATATTTTTAAAGTGATAACATTTTGTGCGCACCCGTTTTCCTGTATATTTAGCATGTACAGAATTTTAACCATCTACTGCAATATTCTAACTTTTCTATGCACTGGATTTAAATTGCTCATTTTTTATATTTGGCCTTCAGTATATATTTTTCTTTTTTCTCCCCCCCCCCCCTTGTTCTCTTTCAATCAGCTCCACTATTTTCTGCAAGGCATTTCATTTAACAATTCAGCAGGGCAAACAATGTCCTTTGATGAAAAAAGGGAAATGGGAGGTGGATTTGATATCACGAACATGATCACATTTCCAAACAAGTCCTTCCTTCAAGTGAAAGTTGGACGTGTTGATCCTGATGCTCTTGAAGGAGAAGCATTCATCATTCATGAAGATATGATTGTGTGGCACAGAGGTTTTAATGAGGTCTGCATTCTAAGAATCCATCTGGTGCCCACTGTTCTTAAGATGTGTTCTTTGGGTGTCAGAAATTCCCATCTTTAAAATTGATGTTTCTATCTGATAGGGCAGAGGGGGGAAATTGGTTCTCTGGCACATTCAATGCAACTTTAAAGGTAAAGGTACCCCTGTCCATTAGGTCCAGTCATGGATGACTCTGGGGTTGCGCACTCCTCTCGCTCTATAGGCCGAGGGAGCTGGCATCTGCAGACAGCTTCTGGGTCATGTGGCCAGCATGACTAAGTTACTTCTGGAGAAACCAGAGCAGCACATGGATACGCCGTTTACCTTCCTGCCAGAGTGGAACTTATTCATCTACTTGCACTTGACGTGCTTTCAAACTGCTAGGTAGGCAGGAGCTGGGACTTAACAACAGGAGCTTACCCCATCGCGGGGATTCAGACCACCAACCTTCTGATCGGCAAGCCCTAGGCTCTGTGGTTAAGACCACAGCGCCACCCGCATCCCTAATGCAACTTTAGGGTTGCCATATTTCAACTGTTGTTGAGCATTTCCTTAGCAAGATCCCAAAATTGATGACTTGGGTTTTTTAAATAACCCCCCCAAAAAACAACAACAATTTTTTTGTTTACTTGCTTAAGATCCAGGAGAAACCACCGCCTTCCGTAATCCCTGTAATGTCCAGGAAAATCTAGAGCCCTATGTAACTTTGAACAGCTAAATTTGGGGTTTATATTTACAGTGCCTTGCATATATATATAGCAAAGCTCTGGAATATCCACATGAAAATTATTCAGATTCCCCCATTTGTCAATCTCTTTATCAATAGCTTAGTAAAAACACATGTGCTGCTGGGAAAAGGTCCCTTTCATCTCCAGGCAGGGTTAGAAAGGAAATACTGGTGAAATCTTTGGACCAAAAGTCAGACTTGGCATAAGGCAGCTGGGTGAACTATGAAAAACATTGGGATCCGCTCCTAACCTATGCCAAAGTTTTGCAATTGTATTACAGCATTTCATAAGTCAAATGGTGAAGTTTAACTTATGAAATGCTGTAAAACATTTGCAAAACTTTGGCATAGGTTACCCCAATCCATGACTGCAAAACTTTGGCACAGTTTTGAAGTGTTTCGGACAGTGCTGAGTTATGCTATAAACACTGCAAAACTATTGCAAGACTATAGCACAAGGGGGAGTGATTTTGGCAATATTGCATTTGTGGTAACCGATAGAGCACCGTGCTGGGAATATCAGCCATACAGTTTTGAGGGCACTGCAAAATTTAGGGTTTCTGCTGCAAAATAATTGCAAATTTTATCATAGGTTTGGAGAGGATCCCAAATAATGGAATTTTACAGCTGTATAGGAAAGTTCTTTTTAAAAGACCTGTGCTGAGTTGGGAACTAAACACAGTTTCTCCTATCCTCTGAAACTGCTTTCTTGCTATGAATAGGTGATTCCCCTTTCTCTATGTAATGACCACTGCCACCCTGGCAATCAGAAGAAAAAGAAAGAAGGAGAAAAGTTTTGCTGCTATGGTTGTGCTCCATGTTCAGAAGGGGAAATTTCAAACCAGGATGGTAAGCTATGTAGCACTCATATTTTTCATCCTATGAGGACAATGGCAAGAATAGACAGTAGCATTTGAGGGGGTTATTATAGATCAAAAAGTGGGTAAGGGGCAAGATAATGACAATGTATAAATCTAGGCATTGAGAAATCAGATAACGGAATTGAGAAATCAATTCATTTGGGCATTGAGAAATCAGATAACGGGGGGGGGGGATATCCCTCTCTAATACCATGAGATGCTCAGGGGCATCTTATGAAATTGAATGTTGGATGATTCAGAACAAACAGAAGAAAATTATCTTCTTCATGCAGCACATGATTAAACTATAAAATTTCCGCCCACAAGAGGCCAGGATAGACATGGACATGGAAGGCTTTAGAAGAATTTTGAAAGAATGTTAGACACCAAGGGAGGAGAAGTCTATCAAGTGGTTATGAACTCTGCTATGCCTCCATGGTCAGAAGCTGTATCATTCCAAATACCAGTTCCTGGGAAGTGTGAGGGGTCAAGGGAGACTTCTCTTTCATTCAGGTCCTACTTGCTGGATCCCCATAGACATCTGGTTGGCCACAGAGAGAAAAGGAAGCTGAATGAGATGGGTCATTGGCCTGATTAAGCTGACTCTTATGTTCTTAATGTTCTTATGTCAGTGAAGCAGTCACATAAAAGACAACGTACTGTTCAATCAGTATTGAAATTTGACCTTGTTTATTTTTCAGATATGACTAATTGCTTCAGATGCCCAAAAGCTCAGTATCCAAACAAGAACAAAACTGCCTGCATTGAGAAAATGATAACCTTCCTTTCTTATGAAGAACCTTTAGGGATTAGTTTAGCATCAGTTGCCCTTTCTCTCTTCCTCATCACAGCTTTGGTGCTAGGAATATTCATTAAGTACAGAGACACTCCCATAGTCAAAGCCAACAATCGGGACCTCACCTACTCTCTCCTTGTCTCTCTCCTGCTCTGCTTCCTCTCTTCCTTGTTATTCCTGGGTGAACCTAGCACAGTCTCCTGCCTCCTCCGGCAACCAACGTTTGGCATCATCTTCTCTGTAGCCATTTCTTGTGTGTTGGCCAAAACTATCACTGTGATTCTAGCTTTCATGGCCACCAAGCCAGGGTCCAGCATGGGGAAGTGGATAAGGAAAAAAATGACAAATTCCATTGTCTTTTCCTGTTCTCTTATTCAAGCAACAATTTGTACTGCATGGTTGATGACATCTCCCACATTCCCTGATCTGGACATGCACTCTTCAACAGAAGAAATCATTGTGCAGTGTAATGAAGGGCCAGTCACCATGTTTTATTGTGTCCTGGGCTACATGGGCCTCTTGGCCACTGCCAGCTTTGTTGCTGCATTTGCAGCCCGCAAGTTACCTGACAATTTTAATGAAGCCAAGTTCATTACCTTCAGCATGTTGCTCTTTTGCAGTGTTTGGCTGTCTTTTTTTCCAGCCTACCTGAGCACAAGTGGAAAGAGCATGGTGGCTGTGGAGATCTTCTCCATCTTGGCCTCCAGTGCTGGGTTGCTGGGCTGCATCTTTGCCCCTAAATGCTACATCATTATTCTGAGGCCAGAACTGAACAACAGGGAGCAACTTATAAGAAAAAAGAATTAAACAGGTTTTTCTTCCTTCGCTCTGGTAAATTTTAAATATGTGATAGTTAAGAGTTGAAGACAAAATACTCTCTCTCTGTCTCTCTGTGCATATTACAGTAGCAAACGTACTTGAGATCACTTTTTTTGCCATTTGTTTATTTCTATTTTCTAAACACAGGTCCCACTATTCAAATGCCTTTTATATGAAAAATCTCTTTTTCTAACATGAGTAATTAGTACCCAAACCTTGTTATATGCACCACAGGCTCAGATATTCCAACAGTTGGATGTGTGTTTAGTACTGTAAAGAAACAAGCTGACTTTCCATCCATGTATGCCTTTTGGAAGGCTTCAGAGTGTTTTCATGGGGTTTTCACACTTTAAGGGTCAAAATTTTGAGGTCAAGAACACATTAGAATGTTCTCATAGGTATTAATGGAAACTGTTGGCTCCTTGGGGAAACACTCACCTAACAAACAATTTTCTGAGAATGTATTTTGTTCAAATAGTGTGATCTGTAAGTAGACAAATACAACAGCTTAGGAGTGTCAGATATCACAGCTATACCTGAGTTCCCTGTGGAACAGCCTCTCTTCAGCTGTAAAGGAATTAAGAACTACACAACCTTTAGAATACATCTGATTGCGGCCCTGTATCGGGAAGTTTTTAATGCTTGTTGTTTTTATTATGATTTGAGATATGCTGTAAGCTGTCCAGAGTGCCTGGGAAAACCCAGCAAGATAGGTGGGCTATAAATAAAATAATGGTGGTGGTGGTGATGATGATGATAAGGCTTTAGACAAGTTCAAGGTTATTTTAAACTTCTTTTTTGGAATAAACATTTGTAATTGGGTTGATATAGATCATGAAACCTTTTGGAATTACAGATGCAGAGAAATGTGAGACCCAATTATTTTCTTCTTGGTTCTGGGGCCTATACGTTGAGTACAGATCACCTTTGGAACTACTGTGGGGCCCCAAGAAGGGGTGGGTCAAGAAGGCCTCCCTCTCCCCTTTGGTGTGGGCCTGATGGAAGTAGGTGAAGTTAAATCCAACCCCTTCTAGGTGGCAGTGTGTGCTTTGCCAGAATTGTTAACAGCTGGGTTTGAGCAAAATCACACTGAAGAGAATTAGTACAATTTAAATAAACACACTTCACTTGTGTCACACCTCTTTATTTCATGGCTATTGTCACAATAGTATAGTTTCCCTCATCTTGATGACACATCTGGATTTTGCCACAAATTTATCACATAGAAAAATAAGAGCTGCCAAATCATGTGGCAAAACTGGAGTTGGACAGTCACCTTTCATTCAAGATTTGCTGCCTTGAGTCACAAAACAAAATAGACTCACTTTGACTTTCCTGCTGATGTTTTCACTTACCATGGAACACTTAAAGATAATTGCCACTTTTTGTGCCACAAAAGGGCAGAGGCAGTGCATAGGGCATTGTAGGCAGATTTGAGAATAAACAGAGAACTCAACATGATGCAATAAAAGAAAAAAAACACACCAACCCTCATTGAAACTAAAACTTTTCAAAAGTTATTAAGTCACCATACAATTATCCAAATCACTATAATTTGTCCACCTTGTCAGAACACCAGAGGCATAAGAAAACTGTCAATAAACAGCCATGAAATGGATTATAATGATTTATCTCTGTATCATGAGAAGATAGGGATAGTATCTAGAGGTAGCCATGGCTCCCTATTTTCTTTCTCCCATTTTGTATTTTCATCATATTATTGGTCTGCCTTGAAATCTGAGTGTTGAGCATTGGAAATCTCACCTAGCATCCAAAGCATGTGTTTATACTGCTTTGATTTTTAAATAAGGTGTGCCAATCTCTCTTGTTGTGCTCTATTGACAGAGCCAGGTATCATGCCATCTAGTTTGCTTAAGTCATTCTGCAGGGACTGATAGGCAAAGAGCATCCAAGATTGCAAGGAGGCTTGCCTGCAAGGATGCTGTGGTCATTCACTTTGCTTTTTCTGCTGCCTCCTGTTGTATGCAAAGAAGCTATGAGGTGCCCTGAGACTGATACATTTCCTGTTCCACATGAGTGGTACCAGTCAGGTGGACTCATCATTGGTGGGATAGGTTCTCAGTTCTATTATTCCATCATTGAAGAACGCTTCATTGAAAATCCTTCACAGAATCTGTTTGATAATAATCCACAGTAAGAGACTCTCCCTCCCCCTTCATTTTTTGGATTAATCCTTCCAGTGTTTGTTAGTTTAGTATTGTGTATTCTCCTAAAATGACCGGCAGTAAATAATTGCTTTGCTCTCTGTGATAATAGGGTTACTGCTGTGCATGTTCTTGGGGCACCTAATCTGAAAGTGTCCAATCTTCCTAGAAAAAATGCCATGAATCAGACACTGTTTGAGTCTCCTTTGTGAGATATGGACCTCATGGTTTGAGAATTGCTTTGTGAGATATAAACCTGTTTCAATATATTTCATTCATCTATGAAGTGACACCTGGCACTGGCTGATAAGTGAAATCTAGATATTTTAACAAAATGTAGTGTGTGTTGGGAGTCTGTTAAACTGATTGTAGCAACAGTAAGTTGATGGGAGATTAATTCCTTTACCAAGGCATGGGTGATTAAAAAAAAGGTATGAGCTTTGCTCTTGTTAGCATGAAGTATAAATAATAAATCATCAAAAAATGCTATTAGAGCGTGCTACTTGCAATTATTTACATGCACTAATATGGATGTTTCCTTCATTCTAATACGCAAAATTCCTATTTTTTGTTTGAATTAAAATACTTCAATGACATGAACTTGTATTCCAAAACTTTTGTCTTTCCAATTCCTTGAACTCCAAATGCAAGCTTCAAAAATGATTGAACCCTGTGGAGATTTTATGGCTTAAGAACACAGTCATTAAATTAGTGAAATATAGAGTAATATGCTCTGTATGCATTTCTGACCATGGTATAGTGATAGAGAAGTGAAGATAAGTCTAAAGGAGTTAGTTTATTCTTCTATTAGGTTTAGAATTGAATATATTTGATAGTGGTAATGGAAAGAACCTTAAAATTGTGATGAAGAGAAAACATTTCACCCCATTTTTCTATACCTGTCTTACATAGAAGAGGTGACTTCTGGTATATTAGAAGTGAATGATTGCACCTAAACCAAGTCTGCAATCTTATACAAAAATAACTTGGAAGTTATCCTCATTGAACTCATTTGCACTTGCATTTGAGTAGAAATGTATTGGATCACACTGTGGTAGGTTGGTTCTGATTAGTTCTTTTTAAAAACAATGTAGCTTTTAAAGTAATCATTAACTTGTCTTATTAAAGTGATAACTATTTTTAAAACAAATGCATAATGCAATCCTATAAATGAATACCAGAAACTGCCTTGTATAAGGATGGTAGTAACTGTAACTAATTCAATGAAATATTGTTGAATTCCTGGGCTAGATGCATAGAATAATTACCTTCATGGCCATTTGGAGTACAAAGAGAAAGAGTTGGATATTGTTGTAGTCATTTTTTGGAAGGGTGGTGGATATTAAAGACGACACAAGAGCTAACTAAACGGTGGTAAAAGGAATATACAAATGGCATGATAAGTAATACATTTTATTTGGGCTGAAGAGTTTGATATTTATTATTTTAGAACCACCATAAAAACTAAGGTTATAGTTGAGTATGTATAAGTTTCAGAAGGAAAGGGCAATTTGTTTTGTCTGCATTGTAGAATTTTCCTCTGAAATTTGAAACTAACCTCATTTGCAGCATGATAACAAAATTCTACCAACACATTCTTGCCTTGGCATTTGCTGTAAAAGTGATAAATGAGAATCCCAACATCTTGCCCAATGTCACACTGGGGTTCCACATCTACGACAGCTATTATGATGCAAGGATGACCTATCGTAACACCATGGACCTGCTCTTTAAAATGCATAGATTTTCTCCCAACTATAAATGTGACTCGCAGAAAAACCTCATCGCCATAATCGGGGGACTTAGCTCTGATACCTCCTTCCATATGGCTGGTACCTTAAGCCTCTACAAGATTCCACAGGTAGGTTTTATCAGTAAAAGGTACCCCTGACTTAGGATCAGTCTCGGATGAGTCTGGGGTTGCATGCTCATCTCGCTCTATAGGCCGAGCGAGCCGGCGTTTGTCCACAGACAGCTTCCAGGTCATGTGGCCAGCATGACTAAGCTGCTTCTGGTGAACCAGAGCACCACACGGAAATGCCGTTTACCTTCCTGCCGGAGCGGTACCTAATTATCTACTTGCAGTTTGACATGCTTTCGAACTGCTAGGTGGGCAGGAGCAGGGACTGAACAATGGGAGCTCACCCTGTTGTGGAGATTTGAACTGCTGACCTTCTGATTAGCAAGCCCTAGGCTCTGTGGTCTGGACCACAGTGCTGCCTGCATCCAGGTTCTGATTAGTTCTTAGGTTTTATGAGTAGGGTCATGAATTTTTGTTCACACTCTTATTATTCTGAAAGTGATTTTGAGATTCAGAAAGTAAACATGACTGATGCTGAAGCATTGCAAGCTGGAATGTCTGTCAAAAATGTAGATTACTCCTTACCAGTAGATATTGCTATAGCAGTGAAAGTCTGAGTCAAACAGGCAGCAGGTAGCACCTTGGACACTTCCAATACCACCAACCTGTTCCACACAACAACTGCAAGAGAAGTTGTCTCTGCAAGAAGGCCAGGTTGACCTGAAGACTTACAAAGCTGACCATAGTCCCTGCCTCCTTGGAGAGTCTGGGTAACGGATTAAAGGGCCCTAATTTATTTTGCAATATTGGTCATTTGCAGGGCTAGAGAGGCTCTGTATAATACTGATAATGTCTGTTCTTTTGCTGTTAGCTTGCATATGGCTCATTCCCCCAAGAGGAGAGTGATATAGATCACTTCCTTTCCTTTTACCGCATGGTGCCCAATGAAGTGCATCAGTATATGGCAATTATCAGCTTGCTCCAGC